CTAGCACAGTAGACCTGGACTTGCCTTAAATTTCTCTTACCATTTCCACATTATGCTTTGGGTTCACGTACTCGTGAGTGAGAGCTCTGTGAAAATGAACGAATTTGCCTTATGGTTGATTCCGTAAAAGTGATAGCTTAAATGGTCAGCCATGTCTCACTTACTGATGGCCAACAGAGGTTGTGTGTGGAAATCAGCTCATGTGCACATTTATAATTACCACTCATAGTGCTCATCACACCTCCACATCCACGAATTGCACGCACTTACGCAAGCTAGGACGTATGCATGGGTTCATTTAATGTTGTTAGCGCAGCATGTGCATATATAAGGATTGGGCATGTGTGCAGAGCTAGGAGGCATTTCACTTCACCCAAAATCCACCTGCTTACCAGACATTCCTACCTGTACAGACCTGATCACCACACGCACAAATCGAACTCCACCTTTATCAACATACAGCGCATCTGATGCGTTCACGGCAACTGGACCACAGCCCCAGTAAAAGCTTCAGGCTTCTACGTGTTCGTGGCTAGTGAGAGTCGGGAGACGACAGACACCCTATTTTTGCTGCTGCCGAATATACATCACAAACTGATGCCAACTCAGCCTCACAGCCATCAAGCCAGCAATCTCGGCAAAGCAAGGTCAAGAGTAGATAAGATATCCACATACAATGAAATGATTAAAAAGGCTGGAGGCATCTGTTACATCTTCTTGCTACCCAATACTGGAGGAGTCAAATTTTTCAGCATGCTTGCACGGGTTGAAGGAGAGCTGGTAAAGATTCCGAGCGATTAGTTGCGCACGTCTTTACAACCTTCATTAATTTTTTTAAGATAATCGCAACAGGCATGCAGATTCGCTTCGCTGTGTCTCCAAAATGACCACCAAGTTTTCGCGACAATATAACATTAATAGCAACATCCAGTGGATCGTGTCCGTGTTGACCCCAGCACTACACATGGAAGGAAATAGTATCAACTCCATGAAGAAACTTGAGCTCAAGACGACACAGTTAAAGGAAGCGCATTTAGTGAGTGAGCTAGATACTGAGACGCATCGAATAAGGCAAATGTTATGAAACACTGACCGATAAATGCATCTATAGTGTGTCAATAATCACGTATATAGGCAAAAAACGCCGGTGCAGTGACGGACTACCCAAAGGGTAAAGTTGGCATTCC